TGGTAGTAATTGTGTTTTCTGCAGTCCTAATTACTCTCTGACGTCTGTGTCTGTCCTGTTGGGTTGCAGAACCAGACCAGACAGTTATAGAGGTGCAGAGGATAGACTCAATAATTCCTCTGTAGAACTGGATCAGCAGCTCCTTGGACAGTTTGAGCTTTCTGAGTTGACGCAGAAAGGACATTCTTTGTTGTGCTTTTTTGATGACGTTTTTGATGTTTGTTAGGGATACACCCTAGCAGAATCTGCACGGCAGGCAGGCAGGCAGGCAGGCAGGCAAAATATGTGAGATAAACGTTTTTGTAGCTTACACTCAGTAAAACAGATACACTGTGCTAGTTAAATAGTTTATTCCAGTAATAGTTTTAGCATAGTCAAAACAGTCCATATATCATTCACTAGTTCAGTCCGTCCAGGGATTATTCAGTTGCAAAATCCAGTGTTGAAAAAGAGGTCAGTAAACTTATAAATATCAGTCCAGTAATATATCTCCTCGCAGTAGAGATATGAAGAAGTCAAACCTCCTTTCTTCCTTCAGCAACTCAGCAGTAGGGAAAACACGCAGTTAGCAAACCATCAATCCATCAAACCATCAATCATCAGGAATCGTCAGCAATTCAGCAGGTTCTCTTGCTCCCTCTTATGGTGGTTCACAACCACACCCAAAATTACATGCTTTGCAGTTTAAAGTGACACACACTTAAATTTACTATCATAGTTTATATATATTATTTTACCCAAACTACGTTAGGTAACCTTGTTATTCCTAACAATGTTAGATGTCCATTTTAAGTCTTGAGATAGAACCTAGAAACATGGTCTCTACTATTGATTCTGTGTTGTTTAGTATTGTTGGTGGTGGTATAGGAGGGATTTTCCTAAAATCTACCACCATTTGTACAGTTTTGAGTATATTTAATTCAAGATTGTTTTTGCTGCACCACAAGGCTAGTTGCACAAACCTCCTGTACGCAGATTCATCGTTGTCTCGAATGAGACCAATCACTGTTGTATCATCTGCAAACTTAAGTACTTTAACAGAGGGATCCTTTGAGATGTAGTCAGTGGTATAGAGAAAGAAGAGAAGAGAGCACACAACCCTGGGGTGCTCCTGTGCTAATTTACAGGTATCAGGTGTGATTCTGCCTAGCTTCACCTGCTGCTTCCTGTCTGTTAGGAAGCTTATGATCCACTTACAAGTGTGTTCAGGTACCGCTAGCTGGTTTAGTTTAGTTAGAAGAATGTCTGGAATTATAGTATTGAATGCTGAGCTGAAGTCTACGAAGAGGTCTTTGGCGTTTCAAGATGTAGGATGTAGTGCAGAGTCATATTAACAGCATCATCTGTCAATCTATTTGTTCAGTGGGCCAATTGCAAGGAGTCTAACAGAGGGTCTCTGATGGTTTTCAGGTGGGCCAGCACTAGTCTTTCAAAAAAAATCACTAGTCCATAAAAAAGAGGTAGAGACTCTAGGAAAAATGAAGAAGACAATAATAACCAATATGATTAGGGGACTGGAGGCTAAAATATACGATGAATGTTTGCAGGAATTGGGCTTGGCTAGTCTAGGAAAGAGAAGGACCAGGAGAGACATGAGAGCTGCCACAGAGAGGAAGGGGTCAAGCTATTTTCTAAAGCACCCGAAGGCCAGACAAGGAACAATGGATGGAAACTGAACAAGGAGAGATTCAACCTGGAAATAAGGAGAAACTTTCTGACAGTGAGAACAATCAACCCATGTAACAGAAGTTGCCTTCAGAGGTTGTGGGAGCTTCATCACTGGAGGCTTTCAAGGAGACTGGACTGTCATCTGTCAGAAATGGTGTAGGGTCTCCTGCTTGGGCAGGGGGGTGGACTAGATCAGGGGTCTCCAACCTTGGCAACTTTAAGACTTGCGGACTTCAACTCCCAGAGCAAAGCTGGCTGAGGAACTCTGGGAGTTGAAGTCCACAAGTCTTAAAGTT